CAGTAAGTCCCTGACTTACAAGTGAGTTCTGTCACAAGACAACATTCATTAAGTCAGATTCATTCATATCTGATGAGGTAAGTCGTATACAGCACACCTGTAAAAGCTCACAACTCCAACATTCTTAAATCAGAATGGGCTTACTGTACCCAGCCCCAAACATGACTGCCAGGGCTCTCAAATCCTGGACCTGGTCTCTTCCAAATCTCAATTCTAGCCCCGCTTTGTTTTAGTGAGAGAAATTCATGACTTTGCAACAAGCAAAATTCTTGCTAAATAAATATATAAATTCAACATGATTCCAATCCTATAGTGATGGAGGGGACAGTAAAATTGCCTTAAATTTATCCAGAAAAATAACCAAGTGAGCAAATTAGGAAATATCTGAAAATGAGTAATAATTATTTCTCAAGATATTACCAGGGCCTAGTAATACCCAAATAGAGTTCAAGTAAATATGACAGGAAGTGATCCAGAAAAAGACACATATACAGTAAGCATTGGTATATGATAAGGCAATGCAAATCAGCATGGAAAGGTTATTCAGCAAATGGCACTGGGTAACTGTCCACACTTAAAATGTCTACTACATAGTCATTAGTCATAATTTAGCTATTTAATTTTTTTTTTCAGGGGTACCGGGAATCGAACTCACGACCTCGTGCTTGCCAGGCAGGCGCTTATGCCACTGAGCTATATTCCCAGCCCTAGCTATTTAAATTTAAAGCTAAATACTGTACAACAGTACATTTCCAGCTGGGCATGGTGGTGCAAACCTGTAATCCCAACACTTAGGAGACTGAGGCAGGAGGATCACCAGGAGTTTGAGGCCAGCCTGGGGGCTTCACTACAAGTTCAAGGCTAGTCTGAACTACACAACAAGACCCTGTCTCAAGAAAATAAAACAAACAAAAGAAGTACAGTTCCCTAGTTGTACTTGTCACACTTCAAGTTGTGACAGTTGACTGTGATGTCAACTTGAATGGATTATCTGGATGACTGAAATGTAAGCCAAAACCCGAAGAGGTAAGAGCCACCCTGGTTGTGAGTGGCACCAATTAAGAGGCTCAGAGCCTGAATGGAATAGGAAGGGGAACAAAGAAGGAAGTCCTGCTTTTGTTTCTTCAGAGGAGCTCCAGTCTTTGCCTCTGCCTCGGATGTCCATCTCCTGGCTTCCAGCACAGAATCTTCAGCCTTCCTATGCAGACATTTGGCCTCCTGATACAGCTTTGCACAGGACTCTACAGTGAGCTCCAGGCTTCCAACCTTTAACTGGATCTTCTGCATCTCCAGTATGTAGACAGCCATTTTACACTTGTCTTAGTTACTTTTCTTGTTGTTGAGACAAAGCAGCCAACACTCACAAGTTAAAGGAGGAAAGATTTATTTCAGCTCACAGTCTATAGACGTTTCAGTCCCTATTAGGCTGGCACCAAGGCAGGGCAGCATGGCAGAGGGGCACCACGGAGGAGAGAGTCTATGGCGCAGCAAGGAGGAAGCAGCCAGTGAAGCGGCAAAGGAAGCCTTCCTTTCCCTTTTATCCCATGGAGGCGACAAGCCTTTTGGGTGGTGCCACCCACACTCAGGGTGGGCCTTGCCATTACCCAGGCCTAGAACCATGCTAAACCACTCAGTAGACTAATTTAGCATCACACACCCTAGATCCAGCCACCTCCAAAAAGCCCCACCTATGAGTGCATGAGGCTTTGGAGGGATAGCTAGATACAAACTGCAACAGCACTCTTCCACACCTGACTCTGCAGCTGAGCACTGTGAGCTCACCTTGTAAACCCTTACATATTTATATACCTTGTGTTAAATCCGTTTCTCTAGTGAACACTAATATTGGGGACGTGACCAGGAAAGTGTTTCCCCCTTCCTGGCTGCTCCTTCGACTCTCTGCTTCCCGGCTGCCGCTCCATGAGCTGCTTTCCCTCTGCTACACCCCTGGGCCACGCGGTCCTGTCTTGGAGCCAGCTGACTAGCACTGAAACGTGAGCCAAGATGAACCTCTCCCCCTTTAAGCAGCCCATTAGGTCTTCTGTCTCAACGAGAAAGCAACTGAGACACAAGTATCTCACAGCCACTTGTAGCTGCTGGTGGCCACGCTGCCCCGCGCACACGAAGCATTCCCATCCACACTGAAAATGCCCTGGGCAGCACTGGCTCACCGGCAAGGAAACCACATCCTTACATCACTCATAACGCCGAAACGCTGTACAGGGATAAAATGTTTGCTTCATTAACAATTTTAAACCCCCTGAAATTAGCAGGAAAAGAGTAAAAATAATGGTGAATATTTTTATGATTTTGAAGAAGGAAAGAGTTTTTGTAAAATATTATCAAAACTAAAGAAGAAATTGTAAATTTGGATACCTAATAATTTAAAACTACCTTGTGGAAAAATGCAGAAGACACACGCTTGAAAGAGAAATGATCAGTTAGAAAAATGAACATGCAAAGCTTGTTCCTGACCCACAATATCCTTTGGATCACTAAGAGACAAACGTGCCAAACAAGTGAATAATGTTAAAACCACGTCATAGAAGAACAAACACAAAAGGCCAACGGGCATTTGAATATATTTAGTTATAATACAATAAATCCTGGCTGTGTGTCGTGGCCCATGCCTGTCATTTCGGCACTCTGGGAAGCTGAGTCAAAAGGACTTCAGGTTCAGGGCCAACCCAGGCAACTTAGTGATTTAGTGAGATCGATCTCAAAATAAAAAAATTTTAAAGGTCTGGAGATGTAGCCCAGTGTGAAGGTCCCCTGTATTTTTTTCCCCTCTCAAACTGTCCAATTTCCAGGAGAAATAAGCATTTTTAAATTACTGGTGCCAACATTTTTGGAAAACAGTCTGGGAATATATATATAAATATATACACACACATATACACACACACACACACACACACACACACACATATTAACAAAGTGACCCCTCCTCCAAAATTACTGCAAAAAAATATATGTTTGCAAAAATGTGAAAGATATTTACTTTGGTATCATATACAAGAAAATAATTGCAAATAATCTAACCATCTAGCAATGGAAATTAATTTAAAATAAACCTATGTAATTGAATACTAATCATTTATTACACTTTGATGTTTCCAGGCATGGTGGAGCATACTTGTAATCTCAGCACTTGGGAGGGTGAGGCAGGAGGACCACCTTGATCATGTTCAAGGCTAGCCTGGGCTACGTAGTGAGTCCAAGGCCTAGCAAAACCCAGAGAAAGTGTGTATTCCTAAAAAAAAACTGATGTTGACTGGTATGAACATCTTTCTTATCCCCTTTCTCCTTTGGTGAATGTGGGTTCATTCTTCTGGTGTCAGGTTAAGCATTATTTCTTGTGAACACCTCTTTTGTGTGTTGCCTGGGCTTTTTCCTATAGCTGAACTCAGCTAGTGAATCAGTTTGTGGTCCACGCCTCTCTCTTTCTAGGTGGTTTATTAAGTAGCACTGAGCATTCTGAATTGACGGCAGCAATTTTGTGTGGGCAACCTTTACAGCACTCATCAGATCCCTAACTGAACTACATTTACTTATGTGTCATTGGCCAAAGCAAGTCACGTGACTAACTCAGCTTCACCTTATCTATGCTGATTGTTCAGCAGCTTAGATAGTGTGAGGGATGATTCACTGGTAGCCATTAGTTTAACAATTTACCACAATGTCAGTATTCATCAAACACCAAATGTTTACTAGATACCTAACATGCGCCAGGCATTTTGCTTGATTCTGGGGACAGTGAACAAGACAAACATGATTCTGCCTTTACTTACATTGTTGGAAAAAGGACAGACATTGAACAAGAAATCGGAAGTATGTCTGAACTTTCTACAAACTTCAGGTTACTGCACAAACCTGGACTAGCGTGAAACGAGTCCAACGGGTCAGGAAAGGCATCCCTGGGAAATATTCAAACTGAGACCAAAAGAAGGAGCTAGTGTCTACTAGGTCACGAGAGGAGGGGCAAAGGAAGGAGGCAGAAAAGCATTCCAGAGAGGAAATGACATGGAAGGCAGACCACACATATTGTCAAGAGTAAACACATAGTTTTATAAATGTATTCACCAAATCTTCATACATACTTTTAAAAAACCTGTTTGTTTTTCTGTATGTATGAAATTACAGAACCACGTGTTCTTTTTGTAACTGGAAAAAGCCAAGCGATCACGCTGTTTCCATTTGGCACTAATACATTTTTCAAATTGTATGCATGAACATCCTCACCCATTTCCACCTTAATGCTGCAACTCCTGAAGCTACTGCCCAGGGTGAAAGATACCTGTTTAGGTCCTGCGCCCACACAGCCCTCAGAACAGTACTAGCATTTACACGTCGTCCTGTGGAGCGTATCCTCACTCACGAGCTTGGTTCCCCAGTAGGTCAGCAGGCAAAGATTAAGTTCTGTCAAAAGTGCCTTTGCAAATCACTTAGAAAGTCCATAAAACACAGCCTCAATGCACAGGGACACCAATGCTGCCAGACTGTCAGTTTCTTCGGCTGGACACCATCTCAGGCATTTGGCATGAGCCACAGTGACGAGAAGAACTCACACTCCCTCTTTGAGCAGTAGGAGCACACTCGGTGGAGTGAGGTGCTTTCGCTGAAGGGGGCCGGCTGGAATGGAGGCTGCCTGAGGAGGCAGCGGCAGATGCCCAGCTCTCACCTGGGGCTGCTGGGACACACACTGACTGAGGGGAACGGAGGCCAGAATTCTCAGCACTGCTTTAATTGTTACTAGCTTTTTCTTTTTTGTCAAGTAGACGGGGTTACATTTTCTTAGCCTAAATGTGTTCGTATGACTCCCCTGTAAGCCTAGGAGGTTCTAGAGATGCTGAGGAGACACTAGGAAAGTACATATAATCTGGTTTTTGCTCTTGTAACAAACAAGAGTTTCAAAAACAAACACGATATTCCGTGATACAAGAAACATGTAAAAGTGTAACATACTAAATTGTACAAAGGAATTGCCACAGGTCTTTAACATACCTATTGTAGGGATGGTTGTCACAATCTCTCCCAGTTTTAATTTATACAAGATGGTGGTTTTTCCAGCTGCATCTAAACCCACCATAAGAATCCGCATCTCTTTTTTTCCAAACACACTTTTAAATAGCTTTTCAAGCATGTTCCCCATTGTAACTGAGTTCTCTAACCTGAATTTAAAAAAAAAAGCAAGTCAAATAATTAGTCTTTGCTGAACTATAAAGGAACATTTGAGTGCATAAAATTACAAGTTTCAATTGGAGGCAGCGCCTAGTAAAAGTTACACAAGGTTAAGTACCATACAATGTGGCCAATAAGGAAGAGGATACCTTGTTTTCAAAGGGAAGCTCAACTGAGCCAGAAAATCCCATTCTCCACTGCAGCATCCAAGTGGGCTATAAGGACGCACAGCTTCAATGTCACACTACGGTGGCAGCCTTTAGTCATCTTAAGTACAGAAGCTACGACACAACACATACGCCTGTACCTTGATCTAAACTCTCTTGAAATTAGCATTTATGAAGCAGAGAACCTGTTTATTTTATACAATACCCAGTGAAGTCTGTAAGTCAGGTTAAATAACATTATCCCGTAGAAACCATGGTTGCTTTGGCTGCCAGACAATACCAAGAGTACCCAAAAAGAGAACCTAAGAAATTTCAGAGTTCTGGAAATCCTGCACTAGAAATTACTAGGAGAAATTACTAGGCCAAGAGTTGAGAAGATACCATGGCATCCAGGATTTGAAGGGGGAGGACTATAACCTTACTCTCAACCAGTTTTTAAAACTTTTTATTGAAGTATAACTTACACACAGATATAAACATGATAACTGTAAAGTTCAACGTTTATTGTCAATCAAACACACCTCAATAGCCAGGTCAAGAAAAGATGATTATCAGACCAGATTCCCTTTGTGGCCACTCCCAGTCACTACTCCCTAAAGGTAATTACTGCCAAGTGTGGTGGCGCACGCCTGTAATCCCAGCACTCGGGAGGCTGAGGCAGGAGGATCGTTGCGAGTTCAAGACCAGCCTGGGCTACAAAGTGAGCTCAAGGCCAGCTTGAACTGCATAGCGAGACCCTGTCTCAAAAGACCAAAAAAAAAAAAACAACCAAAAAAAAGGTAATTACTATATTGTCTTCTGACAGTGTAAATGTTCAGTATTTTATTTCTCAGAAGAATGCCTGATAGATCACATAAAGGAAAGCAACGAAGTCAACTAGCAAAAAAGTAGTACCATGTCTACAACTCTATATAAGCCCTCAGAAATCAATAAAGAATTCTCAAAAAGAAAAAGATAGCCCGGTGTAGTAGCAAACACCTGTAATCCCAGCACTCTGGGAGGCTAAAACAAGAGAATCATAAACGTGACCCTTGCTAGGGCTTTTCAAGCATGACAGTGCTGGGGGCGCCCGGTCCCCCAGCCAACCTCACACACCGCTCTTCCGGCTGTCACTTTTCAGTGACTTGGGGAGACCCTCTCTCAAAATAAAAAATGAGAGACAGACAGACATCCTTGCTGTAGAGGCTATGATTTTCTCTTTTAAATTGCTAACCAAGCTTTACTCAGGGTAGGGCCAAGATACAGCAAGGCCAATCAATCTCCCCAGTGACTTCAGCGAAAAGGTCACCATATTCCAGAAGCCCCTCCTTGGACATGCAAGAGCTCCCTATAGTACTAACATCACGGTCCATGTCTGAGTACACACCGTATAATTTGACAGCCAGAGAGGAAGCCGGGCGCGGTGGAGCACGCCTGTAATCCTAGCACTCGGGAGGCTGAGGCAGGAGGATCGTTGCGAGTTCGAGGTCAGCCTGGGCTACAAAGTGAGCTCAAGGCCAGCCTGAACTGAATAGCGAGACCCTGTCTCAAAAACAAAAACAAAACAATACAAAACAAAAAAGACAGCCGGAGAGGGCGAGCAAGCATTTCCCCTCTACACAAACAAAGAATAGTTAACTAAAAAAATGAAGACCGCTTTAATCATTCATAGAAAGCCCGTTATGGATCTAAACGACAAAACGAGAACTTTCTTTGTTTCCGCAAAGAAGACAAATCTCACGCAGGAGGCAAACTCAGGAAAACGCGGAGCTGGGGAAAGGCACTTCCCGCGGGGAGCCCCGAGGGGGCGGCGCCCGGTCCCCCAGCCAACCGCACACACCGCTCTTCCGGCTGTCACGCCCCCTCTCCTTCCTCGCCTTCCTCCCCGCGTGCTCGAGGTCCTAGGTCCCCAAGCTCAGCGGGAGACGCCCCGGAGTAAGACGCGGCCACGCTCGGAGCCCCGCGGGCATGCGCACCTTTCCCTGCAGCGGCGCGATCCGCACAGAGGGCGGGGAACGCACGGCGGAGCTCGTCCCTTTCCGCAGTCTTCCTCTGCCCTCTAGCTTCCGCCGTCGACCAGTGCGAAATCTGGTACAGAACTGAGCTGCGCAGTACCCGCCTCCCAGCAACTCACCGGTCACCGTCGTCAGCACCGTTACAAACACCACCCGCAACCCTGCTACCTTTAGGGTTTCAACTCCCCGCAGAAAAATGGGTCCTGGACGGGGGCGGGAACAGCAACCGACCAATTACTCACCGCCTCCTGGAGCCTTTCAACCAATGAACGCGAAGGCCTGTGAGTGAAGACTTGTCTGACCAATGCAAAAGACAATGAGGTGGGCGTGAGGGACCCCGCCTCCCGCGACCTAGGCAACAGCAGGAAGCGCTAGAAACGCCAATGACTTCTCACTGCGTCTCACCCTGATGTCCTGCGCGACCAATTAGAAAAGCGAAAGCATTGCTGATTTGCCCTGCCAATCAACTCGGAAAAGACTCTAGTGTTAAACTAACCCACGGAGTGGTCAAACCAACCGGATGCGGGCAGGTGGGCGTGGCCAGAGTTCTAGCGGTATTTAAGAAAATTTGCCACTGTTGAGCTAAAAGTAGAAACTAGCTTGGGATACTGTTTCACGTAGGGAATACCCAGACACCGGCACCAAAACTGGGCATAAAGATTTCCTATTTAGTATGAAACTAGACGCTGTCAGGCCTGTAAACAAATTTTTAACAGCCAGAAGAGATACAGGCTCCTGAACTATCCCGACATCCCAGAACTACAGCCCTTACTTCCTGAGAAATGCTTTCGATAAGTCAGTACCCGAAATACCAACTTGCTTAGCTAAAAAGTTTACAAATACCTCTGTGCAGTACATAACTGAAATAATCAAAATAACTAACACCTATTAAATATATGCTATGTGCCAAGAACTATGTCCAGGACTTTATTTGCATGACCATAATGTTCCAGTGAGTTAGAAATTACTACTTTTATTTATTTTACAAAGAGAAAAATTAAGTAGCCTGGCAGAGATTCAAACCTGGATCTGGCTGGCACATTTATCTTTTTAAGTAAATACTTTCTTTTCTGAATACAATGATTTTATATACAGGTGTAGATTTGTAATAAAACTAAATATGTATGGGTTTTTCAACATGACTCCTTAAAAATTGGTGTATATTATCTATTATGTAGGGAAAGCTGGGGGCAGGCAGGGAAAGTTAAAGGGCCTCGGTGGGGTTTCTGGCAAAAAGAAAGAGTTAAACCCCTGCTAGAGAGACAACGGCCAAAAAAAACAAAGAACTGATAAGGTGGCCTAGCCTGGCTACCCAGGCTCCCTCAACCTCCAACTAAGCACAAAAGAAACAAAGTGGGAAGGGGGACTACATTATAGAAAGCTCAGTTAGGATATAAAATATATACCAATACCTAGACACTCACACACCTGTATATAAGTATATCTTATTATATTATTGTCTCACCATATTAATACACTAAAATGCACATGTAGCCTTTTTCCTGGACCTTGAATGTAAATCTCAAAAGATAAGAACCTGGACAGCACAAAGAGACCACAGAAGTGCATACCCAAGAATGTGCATATAGGCAGTGGAAGAGGGCATGGCCAAATCAGGGGTCTCAGAGCCCAAAACAGCCAATGAAGTTATGGCAGCTCTCGAGGGAGAGACCGTTTCCTGGCATGTAAAAAAGGAGGGTAAGTGCCAGCTCTGGGCTCCCTACCTTACTCTGACAAAGTAGCTAGCTATCTGTCTCCTTATTTCTCTCCTTTTCCCAATAGAGTGATTTTGGTCCCTATTTCTCTCCCTTAAAGTGATGTTTCTCCTTCTAAACTTATATCTCTAATTCTTTATTTATATTGCCAGACACAACAATTATATATAGTCATTTGTTAAAGTACATGGGGAAAAGGACCCATCCCCTGGTGCCGGGGGAGTAGAGGGGAAAGGAAAAGGGAGAAAGAAAATAACAACCAAACCTGGCATGGTGGCACACACCTGTAATCCCAGCATCAGGAGACTAAGCCAAGAGGGTATGAATTATTATGTATTCCAGGCTGGTCTTGAACTCACTCACTATGTATCCCAGACTGGCCTCAAATTCATACCCTCTTGGCTACATAGTGAGTGAGTTCGAGGCCAGCCTGGAATACATAATGAGACCCTGTCTCAAAAAGAACTAAACAGCCTGGTGTAGTGGTGCACACCTGTAATACCAGCACTCCAAAAGCTGAGGCAGGAGGATCACTACGAGTTCAAAGCCAGCCTGGGCTACAAAGTGAATTCAAATGCAGCCTGAATCCTGTTTCAAAAAAAAAAAAAATCATCCTTCTCTCCAAAGGCAATCATTGTTACCATTTTGTTTGATTTCTCTCTAGCCATTTTCCTATGCAAATTATACATAGTTAATGTTAGGAATACATACAATACTGTCTTTTTTCCATTTATTTTAATTTGCGCATTTTCCACTCCGCACCCCCTTTATGGTACTGAAGATTGAACACAGGACCTTTGCACTGAACTACATCCCCAGCCTTTTTCTTTTTTATTTTGAAAGAGGGTTTGGCTAAATTGTTAAGTTGTCCAGGCTGGGCTCAAACTCTCCATTCCCCTACTTCTCAGCCTTCTAGAATGATGGAATGACAGATGTGTAGCACCACACCTGACTGTACATTTTTTAACGTTTTTCTTAAACATTTTTGATAGCTTCATGATATTTCATCATATGAATGTACTCTAGTTTATTTAATAATTTTCATGTATTTCAACATTTAGATAGTTTCTAATTTTTTCTATTATAAATAATGTTCTAGTGAAGTTTTTTTTTCACCTATACATTATTATTTTTTCTAGGAAAGAATTCCAAAACTGGAATCATTGGGTCAAAACATGAAGATGTTTAAAGTTCTTGATGTATATATTACACTGCCAAATTGTTTTCTGAGTAAATTCTTAAAGTTACATGTCCAATATCTAAGTAAAAAGCATGTTTGTTTCATCATTTGGTAAGCTATTTTTAAAAAAGTGTTTTCATGGCAAGACAGGAACTCTCATTCATTGCTGGTGGGAAAGCAAAACAGGAGAACTACTTTGGAAGACAGTTTGCTAATCTCTTATAAAATTAACCAGACTCTGAGCCAAAAAAGTTAAGTAAAAGTTGGGCATAAGTAAAACTTAAATCCATGCAAAAACGCATGGATAGTTATAGCAGCTTTCATCATAATTTCCAAAACTTCAAAGCAATTCTATTAGCATTATCTAAAGTAACAAAATAAAAATGAAGTATATGTATAATTATACAAGGGAACATACTGGGTAGGCTCACAGTATCAGAGGCAGAGGAATCACAGTGACCATCTGGAGGATCAGAGGTGAAGGAATCCAGAATGGCTGTCTGCACACCGGAGTCAGAGGATATAGTAGCAGTGGAAGGTCACAGACCTGGAAGCTCAGGGTCGAGTTATTAGGGCAGGTCTGCATTGGGAAGCTGAAGAACCTAGAGACTAATGTCTACAGGCAATGGCAAAAACTGAGCTCTTCCAAAACAAAGCAAACATGTCCTTCTTTCTTTGTTATTCTGTGCAGGCTACAACTCTATTGGTTGTTGCCACCTAGATCTAGGGTAGGACTTCCTCTCTCAGCTTCCTGGCCTACATGTCAGTCATCTACAGACACACCCAGAATTTACTATCACATTTAATGATTGCAACTGGGCATGGTGGCACATGCCTGTAATCTCAGCACTTGGGAGGCTGAGGCAGGAGGATTGCCTGAATTTGAGGGCAGTCAGTGCTACTTAGCGAGACCCTGTCTCAAAAAACAAACAAACAAATCCAAAAGCCAATTAATGATTACAGCAAACAACATGTCCTTCAATAGGTGAGTGAATGAATGAACTGTAGTACATCCGGTCAATGAAACTTTATTCAGTTCTAAGCAATGAGCTAGCAAACAATGAAGAGATGTGGAGGGAATTTAAATGTATTACTAAGTGAAGAAGTCAATTTGAAGTCTCCACACTCTATGATTTCAACTGTATGACATTCTGGAAAAGGCAAAACTACACAGACAGAAAAAGACTAATGGTTTCAAGGGGTTAGTAAGGAGGGAGGGATGAATAGGCGAAACACAGGACACTTTCAGGGGAGTAAAAATACTCTGTATGCTAACAGTGGGAGATACATGTCATTATACTTTGCCCATACCTATTAAATGTACATCACCAAGAGTAAATCCTAATAAAGCTACGGCATCTGGGTGATAACACTGCGTCACGGTAGGTTCATCATTTATGGCAAATGTACCGCTCTTACAGAGACGCTGACAAGAGGAGAAGCAGGTACATGGGATACCTCGGCACCTTCTTCGCAGTTTTGTTGTGCTAAAAGTGCTCTGAAAATATGAACTGTGTTTAAAAGTAGATTTTTGCTGCACTTTTTTTTGAAGTTTGGTAACCAAAACCAAAATTCCATGTTGTTTCCATTGCCATTTCTTATATTATTTCTCCCCAAATGTTTATTACTCCTTTCATTTCATCTGCTATAAGTGAGGCATCATGTCCCACATACTCACTTCCAAGGCAAAGATATAAAGTTATTTTGCCGGTGACCATGAAGATTGCTTGTTTGAATGGAGGGATCATAACATTAAAGAAGGTGAAATAGGAGCTGGGGATATAGCTCAGCTGCACAGCACCTGCCCGGCAAGCGCAAGGTCATGAGTTCAATTCCTGTTGGTGGTGGGGAGGTGAAATAGCAAATGAAAGATTTTAATCCACCATTGGTTGTAATCACAGAAGGTTTTTTTTGAGTTGGTAATAATGGGGATTTAATCTTTAAGATTTAATCTTTTTTTTTTTTCTGGTACCGGGAATCGAACTCAAGACCTTGCACTGGCCAGGCAGGCGCTGTGCCACTGAGCTAAATCCCCAGCCCTTTTAACATTTAATCTGAAAAGGCTCTGCCTTTTAAGGAGGTTCTGCCAACTTCTAATAGCACCATGGGCTGGGGACCACCTTTAATAAATGGACCTTTGGGGAGCATTCTAGATCCAAACTATAGCAATATATATATATGGATATATATATATATATATATATATATATATATATATATATATATCCATATATATATATACTTTTTTTTTTTTTTGGTACCGGGAACTGAACTCAGGACCTCACACTTGCCAGGCAGGTGCTGCGCCCCTGAGCTGTATGCCAGGCCCAGCAATATC